TTCTTTTATTTTTCAATAGCTATTGTAAAAATATGATAGGAGCTATGTATTAAATTTTGAAATCTTAGTTTTAAAAAGAAAATTTTKTATGAATTTCTAGCTTAAAATGATTTGTGAATTTTCGGACTTTTATTAACACTAATTGTTTTATCCTAAGATTTACCAAATCTCGTTTGTAAAAATTTGAACTATATAAAAATCATCCAGGGTTTGACAAAATAATTTTGTGTTTCCTAGATGTTTGACTGAAATCAATTGTAAAATGTCCGAATATTTGCCAACAGTAGTCAGTGAAATCTAAGATTCATCGGTAAATCCTAGGTCTAACCGGTACTTTTAACGTAGGTAACATCATATATAATAATATAATATGGAAATTTAATATTATCATACCATTTTTACCTATTTACTTATTGTCTTATTCTATTTTTTCTATTTCATTATTACTGTGACGTGATTAAAGATTTCTATTTTATTAAAGATTTATTTATCAAATTATGATACCTACATATATATTATCTTTAAATGTACGCTTGAATGAGATAAAAATTATAATTTGCGGCGGTTTCTCAGAGATATCCAATTATTACATGTTTTTTCTCAGAAATTATTTTAAGAAGAAAATTTACAATTTATATCAGGAGTAGGTATATATGGGTTGAGAAAACGATATAGAAAATGWGTTGTATACCATAAATATATAGCCATATAGGACAAGGTTATAAGCTGTATATATACCTATAACTATAAGGCTATATAACTATTCATATAGTTAGTAAGTACGTTTKTCGTTTAAAAATTAGATGTATAAAAGCTAAAAGCGCATAAATGTACCTAATAATGTATAATTGAGAGGCTTTAATAGCCTTAGTTTAATACCTAACCAATTATTAGTATAACTGCCTACGTGTTGTGTTAGAGGACAAATATATTGTGAGACATTGTTTACTGAAATAGTGAAACGATATTACAATAAAACTTATTGTAGGTATATTTGTAGGTCTTACCTATTAGAGGTATCACATATTTGTTTTTCTATTAATAAATAAAAATTTAAAAAAAAAGGTTTTTCCTGAAAAGCACTGTGGTACAATGTGTGGTAACGTTAATAAAGTTACCGTGGTTTAAAAACATCTGCAACGGTAGTAGGCTACAACTTTACTGCTGCACAACCCTGTATGAGAAAATCAATAAATTAGACAGCCCTGCTCGAAATTCGCATAATATAGCCACGACGCCGCCGTCGTTCTTACTATACCTACATAGTCCTACAGGCCATAGTTGTATTCTACATTAGCAAGTCAACGCACTCTAGCACTGTTATTATACCTAACCTTGTTAATCCATTGACAGTTCGCACTTTTCACCAGCTATTTAAATGTAGTCTTTCTCTTTATTCAATATGTCTGCCATATTATTATACCTGAAGTGTAATATGTATACCATCTCGACATGTGTATAACAAAAATAATATGGCAGACATATTGAATAAAGAGAAAGACTACATTTTCACCAGCTATTTAAATAATATAGGTACTTCATTAAATATTTTGTATTTACCCATATGCTTATTTCAAATTGAAGTACTCGAACTAGATTTTAATGTTTTTAAATGTTTAGTTGCTCATCCAATTTTTATTGAATATCCAAACTTTTCATATTTTGTCATTTTTTATAGATTTTTCATAAATCCCTCTAAAATGGAATTTAAATTYGATATAAAAGATTTAGCTGAAGGTGGAATTAAGAAAATTGACCATACTTTAATACCACTTGGCTGCGAATATGATGAAAAGTATGCTTAAAAATCATGCATATTCAGCTACTATATTACCAGAAATATTATTTTTTTATCTTTACAGCTTACAAAGAAAAGTTTCTATGATCATTGACGAAATGGGTAAAGCATCTGCTAGAGCACAGGATTTAAAAATGCCTATAACAACAGCAGAAAAATTATCAAAATCTGATCACATAATATATTTATTGTCAGAACAAATAAACGATGAGTATGTATTTTATTTTTATAATAAATAGGCACCTATAAGGTTAGTATATGATACTTAATATAATATTATTAAATTAGAACAAATGTATATTAAAACTTTTACCTAATTACTAATTATGTCTTATAGTATACACTATATACCTAATCAGTAATCATGGATACAATATTTTTAGGACATTTGTAATTATTGGAATTTTGAAAATGGGATGGAAAAAATTATATCTTTTTGACAAAAAAGGTTCCCGTTCTGAAGCCATGGTGTATTGTTTACTTGATTTTTATATTCACGAAACTAGACAACGTCAAGGATATGGAAATAAGCTAGTTGAACACATGTTGAAGGTTTAAAAACACAAATTAAATATTTTCTTTACTCTTAATCTTAAATATAATTTTAACAATTCATACTTTTTAGGATAACGAGTTAGAAGCAAAACAATTAGCTATAGATAAACCTTCAAAAAAAATGTTACAATTCATGCAAAAACATTATTCACTTAAAAAGTTAGTTGATCAAGGGAATAATTTTGTAATTTTTGAAGAGTTTTTTGATACCCCAGGTAATAATATTTTAAACTTGATATACTCTAACTGCTATGTATTATGGTTACCTTTATCATATATTTTTAACTATTTTTTCTATTATGACTTTAGGATTTACACAACTAAAAGATAAATTTGACAGGTAAGGTATTTTTGATTTAAAAAATGATAACTTATTGTGAAACCTACTACCTAGCTATTACAGTATTATATATTATGTATTAAAATCATTGTATTAGAATTTTTTATGTGTTTTAGCACAAGTGGATACAGAAGCAAACCTTCTTATGGACGCCATGCAGCTAATAAACACAATGACTCCATGTCTGATGTATGAATAATTATTTATTTATATACTTTATATTAGGTASCTACTATGAGTTAAGGTGTTAAGTCTAATATTAAAACTATGAATAAGCTTACAAATATAAAAAAAAATATACTAAATTCGAATAAAGATTTAAAGGAATGGGTTTGTTATAATCAGTGGCGGCTCGAAGGGAGTATATTTGAATCATGCGATTCACACAAATATTAATGGGTGGGTGGATGGGTCTTATGGTTGGAAAAGGTAGACTGGACCATTTTTGCAGGTTGGTAATTTAAATATTAAGTTATAAATAATAAATAATATATAGCCGCCGTAATATGTACTCGGCAGATAATGTACCTACAGTAATAATTAATAACTAATAACTATGTTTTAGGGTGGGTGGTGTAAAAATATTAAACATGATTCTAGGGAAAAAAAGTTCAAGCCGCCACTGGTTATAATTGTTATAAAACATATTGAAAAGGGATAGTATACTGTGGTTAGAAAGAGAACATCTACATGGCTGCCAGATAGAAATTGGTTTATTTTGCACATCCACATCAGCCAACAGAAGTAAACGGTAGTRTTTAGCTGGAAACAGGCAAGGCTTTAGCTATTAGGTTCCTTAAAGAAGGAAATGGGATTATAAGTGAGCGCTAGACCATCAATCTATATGTACAAAAACCGTGCAACTCGTTAACTACAGTATAGATTATGCATACATATAATATATGCATATATTAACAATTAACACTTATGAAAAAACCAAACTAAACAATATCCCTTGCAAACTGCATGATCCTAATGTTTGTCGAGTTCTTGTGGTATAAAGAAGTTAGGCGATGAAGTTTAAAAAAAAAAAAATTGGCTACTGTAAAAATGAGAAGGAATTATGGCTAATGAAATTTAACTATGCAAACAAAAATATATACATATGAAATGAATAGTGTAATTTATTGTTGATATTAATATATTTTTTGTTAAAAAAGTTTAATATTAATTTAATGTTAGATATTACATGGGGCTGGTAGTGCAACTCGATTGAATGACAAATACGTTGCTAATGCTGATATGTAAGTAGCTATTAAATTATATCCAAATTATATAATTTTTCATTTACAATTACATTTTTATAATCAATTAATTGTTATTTTTTTTTTTTTATCACATATAAAACAGCATCAATAATAAATTCAAGGACAACAAGCCAAATCTCGTCACAGTTCTTCCTTCAGAAAAAGATGTAAATGACACAATTAATGGGAAAAAAGGTGCTCCACCAAAACTGGATCTCAAGTTTTATCATTCACATTTGTGGTAAAAAGCTTTTATAAATATCAGCTATTATATCAATAATTGAATTTTTAACAGTCTTATTAATCTTTGAAATAAGGAGCTTTTTAAACTTTTTATACAATTATTTGTTTAATTTAAATATTGTGTTGATTATAAATAATTAAAAAATTAAGTACATAATACACACCATATTTTAATATTAACATTAAATGTAATTATAATATAGGCATCATATCTACTGGCAGTGTTGGGTAAGTTATTTTTTTATAGTAACTAAGTTACGTTATAAGTTACAAAGATAATGCATAACATTATACTTTTTTATTAGAAAGTTATACTAATTATAATGACGTTACTCTTATGTTATTTATGTTATTTAAGTTCTATAAAAAAAACGTCTATTTTAAATCAATCTACTTTATCTGATATGATCTAAAAACAAATAAACTAATATACACATAGCAGTTGCCGCTTATATAGTAGTCTGTAATYGATGTTTATAGTCAGTTAAATCGAAAATAAAATTAACACAAAGTCGTTTATTTATATAATCATATTAGATTATACTGGAAAATGTTATAATTACATAAATACCTACTTTAATAGTTAAATCATAGGCTTGTCCACGGAGGGTACAGGGTATGCACCTGCACCCTCTGCAATTTCAAGAGGCACAATGAATTATTAAGAAAAATTATTTAAAAAAGAGGGCTAAGGCCCATTAGCCCCTTGGGTACGCACCCGGTTGCACCCTCTGCGTTAAAGGTCTAGACACACCTATGAGTTAAATTATTAATATAATTACATTTTCTGATGTGGCTACGAGGGGAAGGACCACCTTAAAAAGTAGCACCACAATATTCCCCCCCCCCAAAAAAAAAAAATTTAATTTACATTGCAATGTGTCCTTCTGCTAAGTTACTTTTAAATAATTAATGTAGTTACTCTTGCGTTATCCAAAAGTAATAATAACGAAGTTACTATAAGGTTACTGAAAAATGTAACTATGTTACAGAAACGAGTAATGTAGGTTACATTACTACCCAACACTGTGACTACAGGTAGGACCTGTCTTCTTTTAATGTTATATACTTTTCTACAATTAGCTTAATCAGATACGATTAAATTGTTTAATTTTAGTTTTTGATTTTTACATTAAAAATTTTATACGTTGATCTATTACTTAAAATTATTATATCTTATTCTATAGGTATTAGGTATATATATGTATGTATATATATATATCTGTGATTTAATTTTTATTCATTTATTTTTGTGTTACCCATTGTTTGAGTTATGTTAAATTTAAATTGTTTTGTTTTAACACATTTAAATAGGATGCYTCATAAAATTGTTTATATGTAATTTATTATACCTTATATTATTTCTGATGATATGTAAAACTATTAATTAGCAATATTAATTACTAATCATAGACTGTTTGTACCTAGGTACCACATAGTTATTGATTAAAAAAAGTTTTAAATGTTTTGCATGAATATCAAAAATCAAAGTTATATTAAGTTTGTTTGGTAGATATATGAGTTATTAAGTTAGTATAAGAAAATTAAACTTCTTATAATATTATAATTTGCCATAAACATTTGTATAAGACATRAGTATGTAATATAAAATTATAAAGATAATAATATAATATGTTTGTTATAATTTATAAGTTTTACCTAATTTTCAAACTTTAAATAGTTTTGCAAATATTTTCAAAAATATAGAAATTATAGGTAGTCAGTTGTAATTTGTATTTTATTATAATAACATAAAAATTAATGTCTTATAGCAAAACATTTTTCTAAACAAATTTTATTATTATGGTTTTATGCAATATTATTATTTTCTGGTGTGAAATATTAATTTGGAACAAAAAAATATGGGACGTATATATTATCATAATTTTTATTTAATAAAATAAAAYAATTATAGKAAGATTGAGTGTGCAATGGCCAAATACATAGCAGTGTTAAAAATAATTTCAAGGGGTTTTACATAATCCATTGATGAATCGAAATAATATACACAGATCACATTTGACAAATACAGTTATTTTGTAGTCGTTCCAKTTTATTATGATTTATGACATGCATTGTGAATTATTATATATGATTTTGAAGTGGRTGTGTGGATGCAAAATTAATGATCCTTGTTTTAAAATTGATTGGTCAAGGGAGAAACATAAAATACGCATAAGCTATGTGGCCTAATTACCTATACCACATTTCCACCAACCGCTGTTAAAGAAAAKAGTTATTATAGCCGTCGGTTGGTGGGTATTGAATATTGACTAAAATAATAATAACAATAACTTACAATGTTGTAAAATACTTATAATAATTAATTTAATCATTATTTTATTTACTTACCCTCTATAATAATAATTAAATATTAATATAGTATAATAATGCAATGTTCCTGTCTTTTTTCTGGAAAAATTAATTCAACATATTGTTTTACTATATTTTATGAAATAAATTTCTATTATTGAAAAATAGATATATCGTAAAATATACAAAATATACTAAGTTTTATAGCAGACCCTAAAGTAGGTCTTGCGTTTTCGTATAAAATTAATGAATTAATCCAATAGAGTTAAACAAATAACAAATAGATTATTGTGTAATACYTACCATGTGTATTGTTCTGTGGTAATAATGATTAATTTTTTCAAGCAATGGCGGTAAATATGACTTRCAGTGTAGACACCGAAAACAAATTATTGGCGATACCGTCATGGGCTGCCGTTTATCTTATTTTAAATTATTYTTTATCACGTAAGCATGTACAACCACGTACAACGGAAAACGGTAAACCGTAAACGGAACGTTCAATATTATATTAAAAAAATAGTAATTTAGTTCATATAATATTGTAGACCTGTAGTTTTTCTGTGTCGTCCATGAAATCTACAGGTAACGGTTCCACTTCCTCTTTTTGTTTGTTCACTTCTCGGCCTTCTCACTGGTAAGTGGTAAACTGGTAACGCATTTTTATTTTCGTCCGTCATTACTCATTAAACGTTTACGTCTCAACGGTAATTCATCATATTACATAATCCACTCGCATACATGGGTAATTTCGATTTTTCTCTTTTAGATTCACTCAAAATAATATCGTAAGCAAAGCTCATCTGTCCGCAATAGTTCGTTTGTATAAGTTCACCGATATACTTCAAAAACTCAACGTCATGGAGTTCCAATTTGATTTGAGCCATGTCGCCCACGATCAGATCATCAAAATCGACAACTCATTGTTGCCAGTTGGCTACCAAAAAGACGATCCAGAGTTAGTATATTTATGTATTGTAAATACCTTGTACACAATCGATTATTATTATGTCTACTCTGTGTGTCACGCTTTAGTATTTTTTTTTCCTCAAGCATTGACAACTATGGTCATTAGCGTTTTGTGGGTTGGTTGAGGAACACATGTATCTGAGATGAGAATTCGAATGTAAAAATCCGGGTGGTCACCCAACTGTCCAACTATCGATTCCGGTCAATGCTTGATCTCTAAACATGACAGGCCAACCACCTAGCCACGCTATGCCCCATACTACTATTGTCCTAGTTAGCCATAACAATTTTGTCAATATTTCTTTAGATAGCTAAGTATTTGCATCTTTCTGATTTGAGTGGTGTATAGTAATTTTACATATTTTACATACAACTTTATAATTCTAATGACACTACTAAATCGGGCAATCRCTATGCCCTTAAAGTATAAAGCATGCATTTAGGTAGGTACCGACTTGGTTTATTGCATAATTATAACATGTGCACCTTTACCTACAATATTTTATACACTACCTAATGTGTTTTCTAAATATCTGATGTGTAAGCATGTGTGTAAAAAACTTAAAATAATATCTTAATTAAGTTCTAACTGGGTACCCACATCTTTAAAGTATTTTAACAGCCTAGATAATTTTTTCTATAATAAGAACTGTTTCACATTTCAGTATTTTCTTTAATACCTACCATTGCTTATATTAATTGTAAATGTTTTATTGAATTTAAAATGTTTTGTTGCTATATAGTCAACCCTTATGAAAATTACTAAACATTTGTTTATTTATGTGTCCCAAGGTACCTACATTATCTTAAAAATTGGTTTATCTAAATATTGTTAGCTAATTAAGTTTATACCTACCTATGTATGTCTATTTCATATTTAATAAACCATGAAGTTACCTAAAGAAAAAATGAAATCAACTAATCAATATCCATCTATTTTTTTTTAACTTGAATATTGCCAATGATAATCAAGTATCAAATAATTAAAGCATAGTACGGCAAGTTAAATACTGTTTATTTTTCATGTTTGTATAAATATATATAATTTAATTTGTTATGCTAAATGCTCGTTATGTATGGTGTTAAGCACTATTGCAGTTATGATAAAATTAAATAAATAAGAATAAGATTATCATAATAATTACAATAATATATTAATAATCATTATTCAATTTAAGGGTTATTCCAATTTTGATTGCATTTGCCTTATATGGTGATTATTGTTTATCTATTTATTATTTATAAATACTCTAAGAAATTAAAAATTTAGTTGATTAATATAAAATGTAACTCATTTTTATAGATTGCAAATGATGATATCTAATATTTTGGATAAAATGGGGATAGCATCAGGAATTGCTCAAGAATTAAAATCTCCAATTACTTCAGCTGAAAAACTTAGAAATTCAGATCATATTCTATATTTGATGACAGAACAAACATCACCAGGGTAATAAATTGATATTATTGAAAATTAATAACATACTTAAATATATATATATATATCAATAACCTTATTTTATTTCAGACATTTTGTTGTGGTTGGTTTGTTAAAAATGGGATGGAAAAAGTTGTATTTGTTTAATAAAAAAGGTTCGAGAACTGAAGCAATGGTCTACTGTTTACTTGATTTTTACATTCACGAAACCAGACAACGTCATGGATATGGAATAAAACTAATGGATTACATGTTAAAAGTATTAAAATTTAATAAATATTTTATATACATTCCATTCCATTTAATGTTTTTTAATTGTACTAGGATAATCAAATTCAAGCAAGACAATTGGCTGTTGATCAACCTACTAATAAACTTTTACAATTTTTATGGAAATACTTCAACTTATCCAAATTAGTTAATCAAGGAAACAATTTTGTAATTTTTGAAGAATTTTTTGAAAGTAATGGTACCTTTAATAATTATTATATTTGTACAGTTAATAAATTTATACTTGTTTTTATTTATTTAGACCCATCCGATAAAGATTCTGCTAATGACGATCGGTAAGTTCACAGTGTTTAAGATGATAAAAATATATTTATTGTGTATAACTAAAGCTCARAAGTTGATGCTCTTTGAAACAATAAAAAATAACTTATAAAATTATAAATATTAGTTTTAAATTAAGACTCTATTTTACTATAAAATTCTATATAGATTTATCAAAGCTTCGAATTACTCAAAATATGACATAAATGTCCTTAAAAAATGAAACCATGATTAGTCTAATAAAATTACTAATCTTAGTCTGAGGTAATTTCAAAGTTGTAAGTTATCGGCATAATAGTCGACAAGAAACGATAAGAACTGATCTAGTGTGAAATCAATAAAAATGATCTAAAAAGTAATAAACACCAAAAATGATAAATAAAAATTAGTTATTCAGTTTCAAATGCTTATGAAACAGATTTTTGAAAGTTCCAAAAAAAAAAAAAAAATGCAATATGCATTATTCCGAGCCCTATGTATAACTAATATATATTTTTGTATATATAGCTCAAGTGGTTATAAAAGTCAGCCGACATTTGGACGTCATGGTGCTGCTAGACAACAAGATTGCATGGCAAATGTATTTATCTTTATTCCTAATTTAACTTCTTTTACATTTGTTAATTATTGTAATAAATTATAGATACTATATGGAGAAAAACCAGTAGAAACACATAATGGAAATGGAAATGGAAATAAGTAAATATATACATTTAATTACATAACCGTATTATTAATCAATATTGTTATGATTCTATTCAGAGTTGAATATCAACAAAGAGAAAATAAACAGCATAATGAGGAACGCCATGTTGAAATGCAACARCATCACTCTATGGATGAAGGAGATGGTCAGAAATCAAACCAAACCCATCCAAAATTAGATCTCAAGAATTTTCACACTCAATTATGGTAATCTATTAAACTTCGCCTTTTCTAACAGGTGGTAGCTTATTATTTGTTACATATTTATTACTGTATTTTATTAGYAGTTAACAAGAGTTACTCTTGTTAATTTATACTAATCCTAAATATGACTGCAATTATAAAGTAGAATTAAACAAGTTTGTAATAAATTTGCACTGATCAATCTATGAACTAATTTTATATACATAACATTGGGTTCARCCCACTTTAAAAAAATAATAACACAAATACTATATCATTATTTTCAAACTTTTAATTGGTTGTTAGTCAACATGATTAATTAGTAATTAATTTATATTTTTATAATTTTTTTAACTATTTATTTAATTTTTGTAACATGCATTCTATATGTAATATTAACATTTAAAAATTGTTGAGTGAATTTTTTGTTGTGAAAAACTAATTGAAAATTTGTAAACTTTTATGTTGACTGTCTTTTGTGTCATTACTCGATGTCAGACCATTGTATTGAAAATTTATTTTACTTTTAAAGGCTGAAAATGTATTTTCTATAGAACTGTATTGCTTTTGTGTTGAAAAATGAATTAAAACTGGCATAATTTATTTTAAAAATGAACTATTAATCATAATTCTGATACTTTTAATATTGTTACAAGATTTCTTCTTTGCAACATAATAATACAATTATAAAATGTATTGTATTTTCTATAAAATGTTCCTAGACAATGTTTTTTTTTTTCAACAATAATATCAATCAATTTGTTTGCATTGATGTTCTTATAAATAGTTACTAAATTATTTGTTAGACTTTGACCTTATTAATTTCTCATGTATTAAATAAAATAAAATTTATCATTTCATACCTTAAGTTATATAATTTCCATTTAATAAAGTATATTTTTTTCTATTAAAAAACATTTTATTTTATGCTGTGTCTTTATAAATCCTAGAAGATATTGGTAAGAAAATTAATAATTAAACATATCATTATTTTGTGATTTTATTCACAAATAATTAGTCAAATAATATATTTTTATTATCTTATATAATTTAATTATTTATTAAATAGTGTATCATGTCTTCAATTTCATCAGTTTATTGAGACAGTTAATTTAAAAATGTTTTTCCTATTTGGATTTTGGGCTACATTTATGTAAACTATTCATCGGTTCTTCTGTAAAGAAGAACTACTAAGTAGAAATGTAATAATTAGTAATGTGGATTTGAATGAAAAATGCATTTTTTTGTTTGAAGACATTGCATTCTAAGTACAAAGTTCATATTATACATCAAGAAKTTAAAAAATCTAACTTGTATTTTCATTTTCTTGACTTTATACAAAAATTGATAGAATTGGAAAAAATTCATTATAAAATAATAAATTAAGATATTATTTATTTCGTCTCTTATTTCTATTTTTATTAAGTTCTAGCTGAAGTAGACGAATCATTAATATGAATAAGAATTTATATAATAACAAAACAAATATTTTTTATGTTAATAAAACATAAAAAGCATAAGAGCAGCATTTTTTAGTGAATTTAAAAATTAAATCCATTTTGAGTGCATTAGATTGTATTTTTAAGGCATTTTTCTTGCTTGTTAAAGCTTTTAAATTAATTCTATACTAATAAATTTAATAACAACACACATTCAACTTGAAAACATGGTATCAACATTTAAAAAAATTATGATTTCATTTAAATGATTATGAACAAACTTTTGTGTTACTTCAGTACTCACAGAATTTAAATTGTAGATACAATGTTTCATATTCATGTAAATCATTATGGGGTGTAACTATGTAAGAAAAATGACTCTTGACGTAAAAGTTGTATTCAATTTTTAGTTATTGAAATATAGTAGTATAACTATAAATAAAAAATTGCAAGCTTTGGTAAATGTCTTAAAATGAAACAATGTAAAATAAATTGTTAATAAACTAAATCCCCCATTCTTCATGCTATAGCAATGACATAACCAAAAATAAGTTCTGATTAATGGACATTAGCTGTTATAATTTTTATATATTATAACTGTAGTTTGTCATAAATTCATTTGAATAATATTAGTAATTTAAATTATAATTCTGTGCCTAGGTCTTAAGAAGTTATATATTGTCAACTATACACAATATAGTCATATTGGGTTGGTAACATACAGTGGCGTATTTTGTATGTTTTTTTTTTTTTGGAATGACAACATAGAGTTTTAATTT